GCGTGGGCAGGGACAACGGTGCGTGCGTGGGAAAGGCTTTGCTGCGGCTTGCGTTTTCTCTGTGGAGAGAAAAGGGGCTGCAGGAGGCGGGGCTGGGGGTGGGGTGGGCAGCGTGGGGAAGGAGAGCTGGTCCAGTGAGCTGTGGAGTAGGGAGGTGGGAGGGGGGTCTGGAGGAGGAGCAGACCACCACGAACCCCATGGGCCAGAGTTCACTGAAGACTGTAAGAACACTACCAGGACAGAGGCAGGTGTAAGAAGTTGAGCTAGGAGAGCAAGCCCTACACTGTGTGTGTGTGTGTGTGTGTGTGTGTGTGTATGAATGCGTGTGTGCATGCACATATCCACGGGAGAAGGGCACTGGTAGAGAATAGTTGAATGCAGGGCTGAGTCTCCAAGCTGGATGAGACATGGGAACCAAGAACTGATAGTTCAACCTGAGCTCCCAGGAGGGCGGGGCAAGTGAGCTCCCAGGAGGGCGGGGCAAGCGAAGAAGCAGGACCGGGATAGGACGTTTGGTAGAGGGAGGAGGGCCGTGATCGGAAGATTGGTACTGCAAGGAACTCCTGTGTGCTACTGTTAGCCCGAGTCACAGATGAAGGAAGTGAAGTACACGGAGGCTACGCGCACGCCCCTGGTGCCACAGGCAGGCTCCCGAGGACACCGGGGGTCAGGATGCTACCCTACTTCACATTCAGGAGGCTCCTGCCCAAGGAGCCAGAGAACCCCGGTGTAGAGCCCCCTCCCCAACTCCAGGAACCTCAGTGCCTTGCAGATGCACAAATGAGGTCTGGAGCTCCATGGATTCACCAGAAGTTTCGCTGCTCTACAAGTGCATTATGCAGCAGGGCGCCTTCTAAATCACAGGACAATCCTTTGATAGCACTCTGTGCACTGGAGAGCATGTTCCTGTGTCCACGGCACTCAACGCAAGGGCTGGGGCAGATAACCAGGTGAATTGTCCTTTGAGGCCCAGGCTCTGAAAGCAACGGTCCCCGCCACACTGCTCATAACTTCCTGAACCAAGTGGGCACTACCAGGCCAGCCCTCCAGACGCATCTCGGACCCAAGGGAAACCAGCCTCACGCAGCACTGGAATCCTCACCCTATACCAGATGCTGTCATTTTGTCTGTCCGTTTCATACGATTTATGACGACGATCACAAAGCCAACCTGTTTTCCTGCACACTAGATCGAGGGACCCAACAAAAACCACACGCTTGGTGGTCATGTCTCCCAGTGGACCAACGGGTGGAGGTGAGCTTTTGAATTTTCTAATTTTTGATTAACCGATCCTAAATGTTCACGCCCATAGGGTGCAATGGAATTATTCTAAAAGTTTTTTTTTTCCCTTACCAGGGATGGGAACTCAGAGCCCTGTGCTTGCTACGCAGATGCTCTACCACTTGGTCCAGACTCCTAGTTCTCGTGGCTTGACTGCTTTTTCAAGTAGGGTCTCACACTTTTGCCTGGGCCTGGCTTTGGACCTCAATCCACTTACTTCTGCCTCCCATGTGAATGCGACCAAAGGTGTGTCCCACCGTTGCTGGCTTGTCCACTGAGATGGGGGTCTCCCCAACTGGAATGTCTATCCTTCCCAAGTAGCTGAGATTACAGATGGGCGCCATCATGCCTGGCCAACAGTGTTTTGTTATATGACCACAATGAAAGAGAACTAGAGCCAGCATACCTTCTGTGCTTTCTGAGTAGGGCTTAAAAACTGGACAAGGGTCTGCTGTCTCTCCCACGCCTCTTCTTTCTCTCCATCTCTCCTCTCTGGTGGCTGAAGGCAGGCAGCCTGGCCTCAGGCTCTGGGCCTCTCTGGTGGCTGAAGGCAGGCAGCCTGGCCTCAGGCTCTGGGCCTCTCCGCTACTCGGCTGTAGCAAGCCACAGCGAAGTGAGCCATTAATTTGTGCTCTGCGGCTGAGCCTCAATCCTGATTTAGGGCTACATAAACCCGTCTCAAAGTTGCGAGGCATAAATTAGTTTACTAATTTTGCCATTAAGAGTTTATCAACGGGAGCACTGTTTCGACTCCCCTCTAATCAATCCCCATTTTCTGTGTTTATCTCCTATTCAATTTTTTTACCCTGGGTTTCTATACACATCAATTTGCTTGACGCTCTTCCTACATATGTTTTAAATTACTTTATCATTGTATAAATTTCACAGCCATTAAAGGGCTCTAATACCGGGGAGGCTGACATGGTGTTAAAAATTGGATTCAATTCCACGGAGTAATAAATTGTGACCTAAATCCAATCTCTCATGGGTGACTGAAGGATACAATGAAAAATTATTGCTTTATCATTTTTACATGAACACAGATATCCCATGGTGACGAAACACAGGCAGAGAAACAGGGAGAAGCCACCACTGGCCATTTCCACACCAAGCATGAGATGGATGACTGAGACCAGCCTGCCTCTGGGCCTGGCTGCCCAGACTCTGCCATACACAGGGGGAATGGAGCCACACAAGGTTCCTGCGGCCAAATTCCATGGCTCCTCCAGGCTGCAAACTCCTGGCTGAGCTCCTAGCTCTGTGGTTAAGTGCCTAGCTCAGTGGCGGGGGTACCTAGCTTAGTGCCTGAGCGCCTAAGTCGGTGGTTGAGCACCAAGCTCTGCAATGGATCACCTAGGTCTGTGGTTGAGTACTTAGATCTGTGGATGAACAATGCCAGGAAGCTGGTGGGCACGGGATGGGGTGGAGCTCCGTGGCACACCAGGCCAGGCTGAGGAGGGGCACTGCCTGGCAGTCGGCACAGAGCGCACTTGCTGATGGGAGCGTGCCCCTCTCCCATCAATACGGCCCCCGTGGCTGAAGCTTTTGGGGCGATGGGGGGGTGCATAGGGGTGATCCTGGAGGGCTTCCATGTACGCTAACATCCAGTCAGAGGTGCGGCCAGGGCAGGTGGTGAGGGGCATCATGAGGGACTGGGGAGGGAGGTGCCGGACGCTACCAGCCCATGCATGAAGGGCATAGCCTAGGGGCGCAGAGGAACCCTGGGACACAGGGCCACCCCGTCTCAGAGGCTGTCTGCTCCCCGTGTGTCCCCTTCACCCACACTGTGACCGGCCACAGCCCGGTCCCTGCTGCCCCGGTGCACCGCAGTCCAGCCAGCGGCCGCGCAGGGAGCGGGGTGGGAGGAGGAGGCTGAGGAGGTGGGAGGGTGGGGTCTCGCAGCTAGGAAAAGGCAGGACTGGGATTCCATCTGCTCTGCAGAGGCCCTGGATCTATGGGCGGAAATCCTCTCTCTACTTCCGGCTGCCCTTGGCCTTCCATCCAACATGGCCGCATACCCTACAGCACAGAGCAGAAGCCCAGGGAGGGATGTGGAGAGACCACAGGCCCAGGGGAGGCCCTAGGTTGTGTGTGTGTGTGTGTGTGTGTGCGTGTGTGTGCGTGTGAGCGCACACGTGATGGCAACTTGTGCTACCAGGAACTCAGGCTCCGTGAAGGAAGGCCGGGGAATCCAGTGTTGAGCTCTTCATAAAAGTCCACGTGGAAAAATCCATTTCCCTCCCTCGGAATTTTCCAGACTTTCATCCCCCGGGGGCCGTCTCTTTAAAAGCCCTCAACTTCTGGAGCGTCCCAGGGCCTGCGTCCCCGCCCGCGCCCCCCACGCTGCCCTCCAGCCTGTCTCCCTGGCCTCTCTCCCAGGCAAGGAAGAGGCCCACCGGGCAGACGCTGAAATCCCTCCGAGGCAGAGGGAATCCCGGGTGGGTGTCATGGTTTCCAGAAAGGAGCAGACTCTCCCTATGGGGTGTAATTACATCTTAGCTTTCTGTAGAAGAATACTTTATGGCTTAAATGCTATTAATTGTAAGCCGTTTTGTTCCGCGGGAAGTTGCTCATTGATAACTACCCAATTAGGGTTATTTTGCAATTAGTCTATTCACAGTAAATTTACTGCAAAAGGAGGAGGCTGTGATGCAGGAAATGAACGCGGCGCTGGGGCAGTGTGGGCCCTGGCACAAGTGCCAACCCCATTAACCGGCTCGGGGGTCCCTGGAGGGCATGTGCCGTGGCCAGGGCAGCCGGCGCCTCCAAGTGACCCCCACAAACTCACATCCCCAAGCCAATGGAGACACCAAGCCACAGAGGAGTCAAGTAAGGTGCCCCAAGTCCCGCAGCACACACACGGGAGACCTGACCCCAGGCAGCCCAGCTTCCTGATCAAGCTCCTCCCCAACTAGCAACCATCACGCCCCGATTATCGGGCTGCGGGAGGCCAGCTAGGCAGAAAGTAAGCAAAACCCCATCTCGAGCCATCAGCCGGGCATGGTGAGGTGTGTCCCTCACCTCGGTTACAGCGGAGGCAGAGGTGAGAGGAGGGTGGTCCGAGGCCAGCCCTGACCCTACGTGGAAAATAAACAGACTGAAAGTGAGAAAAGGTCTGGGGTTATGACTCAAGCGGTAGAAAACCGGCCCCGGCAGGCTTGAGGCTGTCCACAGTGCGTGGCACCGGCGGGAGGGAAGCGGGGAATGTGGACGCAAATAAGGAGAAAGAGAGGGAGGGAGGGAAAAGGAAGGAAGGAAAGGAAGGAGGGAGGGAAGGAAAGATAGAAGGAAGGGAGGAAGGAAGAAAGAGAGGAAGGGAGGGAGGGGAAGGAAGGGAGGAAAGAAGAAAGGAGGGAGGGAGGGAAGGAGGGAGGGAGGGAGGGAGGGAACATGGAAAACAGGAAAGTTGCTCACAGAGGCCCCAGAGTCAGCACCCAGCGGCCTCCAGTCCCCAGGCGAGCACAGTACCTTACATTCACACCGCTTCTCAGCCTAAAGTTCTGGCGGAGAAAGCACCCCCTGGCCGCGGGGCCGCTCACCGCCCCCAGCCTTCATTCCCACCAGCCCAACTCATCAGCCACGGAGCCCACGAACGGGTCACAGAAGGGCATTTCGCTTCATAAAACTTTCCTTGCAGAAATTCTCCGAGCAGGGACACAAATGGGGCAGGGGTGGTGGTCGGGGGGGGGGGGGGCGCCCGGGAAGGGGCGGGCACTCACCCTCCAGGGGGCAGAAGCGGGTCACCTTCTCCGGCATCAGCTGGCCCAGCTTGTGGCGGCAGTAGGTCTCTGCGATCTCCTGGCGGCAGTGCTTGGACTTGGCGCGGGACAGGGCGGAGATGGCCTCTTTGCCCGAGATGTCGCACTTGGGTGGCTGGTCGTATTTGACCTCGGGAGAGGCACCGCCACTTTTCCTGGCGTGGGGCTGTCTGGGCACATCCTTTGCCTGGCTGCTGTTGGCTGCGGCTCTCCTTCCCGGAGGTGGCAGCTCCTTGGAGCCTTTCCCCAGGACCGAATGTCCCTGTCCTTTGTCCTGAAGTTCCAGCTTCCTCTGCAGCCGCTCCTTCAGCCGAACCGGGGCTCTCTTCGCCGACTCAGGCTGGTGCTTCTGCTTTTGAGTCCTGGGTGCAAAGTTGCTGTTGTCTACATTCTCGAAGTCCTTAGGGACTGAGTTTTCGTTGTTGCTGTCCGTGCGTACTTTCTCCTTGGGTCGGTGAGACAAGTATCCATCCTGCGCAAGACCAGAAAGGAATACAGGGGAGAAACGTCACTGGGCCATCATGCTAAGTACGGTGTGGTGGTTCAACTCTATAATCCCAGCTACTCAGGAGGCAGAGGTAGGAGAATCATGGCCTGAGGCAAAAAATAAAGCCTGAGCAAAGTCAGTGAGACTTGATCTGAAAGACAAAACTGAAAAAGCAAAGGGAATGAGGGATGTGCCAAGTACAAGGCCTTGAGTTAAAATCTCAGTACCTTTATCACTACCAGCGACAAAATGACTGGACCCGTAGTTTGAGGAGTCTGAGCCCGAATTTCCCTTTGCTAAGTGGCTTAGGTCTTTTCTCTTTGGACCTCGGTTCCCCCATCAGGACATAAGAGACGTTTCCACCCGAAACTAAGGCTTTCATAAACTCCCAAGGAGTGTACAGCTACAATTCTCCATGCCCCTTGACCATGTCTCTGCCACTGGGTGGCTGACATATTCTTCCAGACTCCCACTGGCAGCAGACAGTGCAGTGATGGTGTATGGGAGGGCTGGAAATGGTGTGGTAAAGTTATAAAGGGAGAAAATATTGGTAGGATATCATATACATCCCGTTGCTTTTAGGACACGCTCATGTATCTGTGCCCATGAGAGAAATCACACTGAGCCACTGTTGGTTCTGTGGAAATCAAAGAGGCTTTGGCTTTTTTTTTTTTTCCCTGAAGGGAACCTATAGAGCCTGTGCAGAAGGAACTTGGCTGCACGGCTCAGGAGGAAGGCAAACCCCGAGACCTGTCACACTGTCCCCCCTGTTCAGCTGCTGACCACAATGGAGAGTCCCTGGTATTCAAAGTCTGGGTCAGGTGCCTTGAATAGCTTCTGGAACATGCCCCTTCCTTCTGCTTGGCATTCATTCCCGAGGCTTTGGTCAGAAAGAACGAGCAGTTTCACACGTATGCCCAGGCCTGCCTGGATCCCAATCCACCTATTACACTACTCACTTAGCTAGGAAGACAGGTGCACACTACTGCATCCAGGTAGCAATTGAGATGGGGTCTTGAATTAGACTAGCCTCGAACTGTGATCCTCCCAACCTTCCCCTCCCATGTGGGTACGATCACAGGCATGAGCCCCTAGCACCCAGTTACTTTTCATTTATTTTTTTTAAAGGAGGGTAGAATTGTGGCCTTAATACTTCCTATCCTGAGGTGAGGATAGGAGGCAGAGAACACGGTTTACGCCACCACTCTGTCCCCTTCTTTACCACAGGCTGCGTCATGCCACAAGGTTACATACGGCCAAAGGTCTTCCGTAGGTGGAGGAGGACTCCAGCTCAACTCCATGTCAAGGCTGGGCAGTGGCCCATGGGGTCACGGCCCCAGAGGGAGAGGACAGGGAGCAGGGACTGCCGAACACAAGGCCACAGGAGCTGGGAGGCCCGGAGGATGAAGTACTGCAAAGGGAGGGTGCGTCGAGTCCCGGCCCTCTCTCCTCTCTCTTGTTTCTACTACCCATTGCCGGGAGGCAGGGAGCTGTTTCTCTACCGCCTGAACTGCCTCACCGCAGGCCCCAAAGCAGCACCCAACCCTGGACTCACACCTCCGAAACCATGAGCAAAACTCAGCTTTTCTCCTTTCCTTTCCAGTATCTATTTCAGATTTTTTTCACCCTCCTCTTATAGCAACCAAAGGCCAAGAAATCTCCTTCAAATCTGCTTCAAACCACACACATGGGGTGGGGCGGGAGAGCTCTGTTACTGCAGCACGGCCTAGCTCACCCTGACTAACACACGGGCCCAGCTCCAAGCGCAAGGGCAGATCGAAATCCTTCCTTGTTGTCACTCCCGAGTTGGGTCCCTGAGCAGAAAACGTCCAGAAGCTCCCTATTTCGAAGGCGGACATTCTGTACCAGTTTCTGACGAAACGTCACCAGGAGATGCGGGGAAACCCGGCCATCATTTCTCTGCATCCGCCACAGCCAATGAAGCTGAGCTGACAATCCCAGAGCGGCCGATGGCAAATGCGTAGTATCGGGATGGCACCGTCATCCATCTCAACCCGCCGCACAGTGTGTGGCTGGGGGAGGGAGGCCACTGCAGGGGGGGCAGCAGAGGGGAGGGAAGGGAAGGCTGGGCTCAGCATGGCCCTGCCACCTCCCGCCTGCCTCGGATATTCCCCGGCTGCTGAGGGAAGCCGAACGATTCTGGTGTCAGAAGAAGGGACTTGTCTTCTGGACTGAAGACATCATAGATACCTAATAGCTTCTAGGAAAGTCTCAGTGAGTTTCAGGCAACCTCTGGGGGCCTGAGGATATCTGTCACCTCCAGGTCAACGCTGGTTCCTAGTCACAGGACCTCCTCCCCCCTTCCCCCTCGCTCTTTCTCTCTCTCTCGTTTTCCCACCTCACTCTTTTCAAGAAAATCATTCTGAATAAAATCAAACAATTTGATTTATGCGCTTTACCCTGTCAACCCGTGTTTTCAGTATCTACTACAGTGCTGCCAACTAGGAGGGTGGTTGCGCAACGGCAGCTTGATGCCCTTTGATTAGCAGCTCCCGAAGCCTCCCTCCTCCTGCTCCCTCCTCCTGCTCCCTCCTCCGTTCAGCTCTTTGAGTGTTACAGTTTCTGCTTCAGAAACGTAAGCTACGAATACTCCCCTGACTCATTTCACCCAGCAAAACCTCCCCCCAGAAGTCCTCCATGTGGTTGCTATTGTGAGATTTAATAACCTAAAAGAATATCCACTCTTTAACAAAGTACTTGTTACACGAACCCATCCACCAAGAAGCCTCCCTAATTCTCCATCTGAACCCCAAGGTGCAAAGAAAGAACTTTCCTCTCCTCTCCTCCAGAACCCACCATCCAGACACCCACACTCTCCACATTCCTGTCCCTGCTCAGAAGCCAACCATGGGAGGTTTCCAGGCTTGGCACCAGACCCTCAGCAGGCATCAGTGCACCTGAACACATGAGACACCCCCCAAAGCATCACGCGCCCCAGGCTTGGACGAGCTCTGGTGCTTTGGGAATCAGCGGAGCAAGGGAAGGACATGAAGATGACCAAGGAGAGCCAACAGGAGGGAAGTGCTCATGTCCCTCTCCGAGTCCTCATCGGGAACACGAGGAGATGACGGTGTGGAGCGGCCACCTCACCGGTGCTCTGGGGACCATGATCATATCTGAAACTTCTGGAACAGGCCTACTGCCCAACACAAGAGGAAAAAGGACAACCCAACTCATCTGATGGTCTCTGTGCAGAAGATGGAGGTGCTGGTGAATTCTCTATTTTGATGAACTGGCCCTGCCCCTTTTATTCTTACCCACCATCCAACTCTCTCACCTTGGGTTGCTTGTGCTCATGCCCGCCCTTTGACTTATTTTATTTTAATGGACCTATTACAATAATTGCACATTCAAATGTTTTGCGTGCAAGCTCCAAAACCCTAATTGCTCGGCTGCTGCCTTCCCTCACAGCTGTCCTGCCATCCATTTTTATTCCAGATGAAGAATTAAATACGATGATGTCCTCCATCTCTGTTCAGCCTTGTGCCCATTCCTCGTCCAGTCCCATCGGGTGGAAGATGCTAGGCATGGCATGGATCCAAGCGTGGTGGGGGTCGTGACCCCGCTGCCTTTCTGTCTGTGCCTGGGTCTATTCCTACCTTTGCCCCTGGTTTCTGATGTTGAGACCTCAGGATGGATTTCTACCCAGACACAACTGAATCCCAGCCTCCTCGTCCCATTTCTGAGATGTCAATTCGATGTGCAGTAAGAACCCACAGAGAGCTGGACGCCGGTGGCTCACGCCTGAAGATGACTACTTCCTGGCTACTCCAGAGGCTGAGCTCTGAGGATCCCGGTTCAAAGCCAGCCCAGGCAGGAAAATCCCTGAGACTCTTACCTCCAATTGACCACCAAAAACCCCCCCAGAAATAACACTGTGGTTTAAGTGGTAGAGTGCTAGCCTGGAGCAATAGAGCTAGGACCTGAGTTCAAGCCCCATGACCGACAAAAAGAAAAAAAGAAAACAGGAAGAAGACTAGAACTGGGGTACTCATGCAGATGTGAATGGGAACAAAGCAGCAGGAACCAAAACCCTGAACTGGCTTTGAGAGGAGGGAGACACTGACAGAGGTCACCACGGGGCTCCATTCAGACTCCGGCAGGGCCCTGAGCCTCTTCCTCCTCCACGAGTTCAGCCTAGTTCTGTCCAGACTCAACCAGGACAGGAGCACAGTTTCTAGCTGCCCAAGGCCTTGTGTCTGTGACCCGATTCTCCTTGAAGCACCTGCCTGAGAAAAACTCAAGGTTACCCCCCAAATGAGCTTTCTCCAGCCAACACCGGAAGGCGGGTGCATCTTCCTGTGCCTGGGTAGAAACCCGGCGTCCACCAGCACTGGTGAGCAAACCCAGGCAGCTTTCCTGCAGTGTGGGACTTTCCACTTCCTGACTCTTCTGAGCCCCACGTTCCCCTCTTTCCCTGTGGAAAGGCCCAGCCGCCTCTGGACAAACCTGGAGTGTAATTCCTGCTACGTCCTTCTCCCTCCATCTCCCTCTGGTTAACAGTCAATTCCTAACTAAACGTGTGCCTACCACTTTAGCCAGCGTCCAGCCTGTGGATGAATGACACTGTCCTTGGTCAGGCCACGCAGCCTGGGCCGGAGTCCTAGGTCAAAAGCCCAGTGGCAGCTAGCTGAGTGCCAGGGCATGGGCCTTCCCCCAGGGCCAGGGACAATGTGGATCCAAACCTTCTGGGTCTTTCCATGCCCACCTACAAGGCAGCTTACAATGTGGTGTGGAGATGCGGGGAAGCAAGGAGGCAGAGGTAGCACAAAAGAGCCGTGTCTATGCAACAGCACAGGTCTGCCCTGTCCATGAAAAAGAGTCCGGATAATGGGTGCAGCCCCAGTGACCTGGGGACATCAGCCCAGTGAGCTAAGCCAGCTCGGGAAGAGAAATACTGCAGGACTCCCATTGTGTGGACCCCCCTTTCCCTTCCCTCCCCTCCCTTTTGACTTATTTATTTT